TATGCTTTTACATTTTCTGCAATTTACCTTTACCGTGTTTATCTTTATCGTATTGCATTCCGTCCAAAGGAAAAACCTACACATGATTCAACAATTGTGTGTAGTGCATCACATTTGCATCATTTTCCCACATGATCCTTGATCCCATTCAAGTTGATCTTTAAGACAGATCCTACCCCATTGGAGGACCTTTATCTTTACAACATAGAAACAAAACAAACAACACTACAACTTATTCAAACACATTAGAGAAAGATGTCAATCATCTTAAGCGAGATAGAATCTCCATCCCACATCAATTATAATCAATACCGTAGGGACTTTGCCTTAAGAGAGATAGAGGCGTACCTCGTCGATCCATATCCGAGTACTTGAGCCCTTCTCTTAAGACGATGCAAAGACTATTTTCCTACAATTTGTGGCGGTTAAATCTCTCTTAAAATGATAACGCATCTCTTCTCCTAAAATCAATCAATCAACTACCCTAAACCCGTAGGAACTTTGACCACAGTCAAAGAACTCCTCAAACCCTTTAGGAGAACTACAAATACTCTGATTCCACTCTCGTAAGGATATGTAGGCATAAGATGCGATATCTTATCGAGTATACTTAGAAATAAACCCCCTAGGTCTCTTAACCTTTAAGCAGATAAACACTTAGCAATAAACAAACATAAAACAAGAGGTTCCTGTAGAGTACTACAGAAATTTAGGATGTCAGCACCTTCCCTAAGTTTAACCAACCCCCGAACCTAAAACTCTCTAAACCTTGCATTTGCATTGCATTGTGGGAATTTCGATCTTTATCCCTTCCTTTGGACAAATCAAAGTTCGGTTGCAAAATGAATTAAAGATTCAAACTAATCAATAGTTTGGTATCCGATTTTCACCGCGACAATTGGAAAATTTTAAGATCAAGATTATGCATGCTTAGTCATGAGCAATTTTAATGTAATCCAAAACAGTCTCATGCAAGAAGTGACAATTTTCCTCATAACCAAACATTTCATGTCACAAGACCAAAGGAATAAATTCATGGTGATGCATCTACACAACAAATATCAGAACTTCAAAATTTTGTCCAAGGTAGTAACATTTACCACAAGGGCAGTCCAAGCACAAGCTAACAAATGGGTACAAGATTTGAGAGCAATGCAAAGTGCAGGAGGAAAAAGACAGCTTAGGCAAAGTGCAACAGGAAAATACAGCATAGCAGCACACATGAAAATGGAAAGAAAGAGAGTGACATCAAGAAAGTGGCATTGGACATTTCCAAGTAAAAATATGAAGTTTTAAAAGGAGGGAAAACCCTAATGTTTTGGGGATAAGAAGGACAATAGCAGTAGAAAGAACACATAAGCACATTGACACATAGAGAGATATTGAGAGAAAGAGGCATTGAGAAAAAACAGAAAAGGGCATTGAGAGAAAAAATAGAAAAAAGGATAGAAACATTGAGAGCATTCACTAACCATTGAGAGAACAAGAGAGGGATAGAAAACCAGAAGAAGGAGGTAGATCATAGAGCACATCCAACAAAGGCCATTGGTGAAGGAAGATAGTAGCTCTTGGGTATCCTTCCTCTCAAACTCTTATCTCTTTACATTTTGCATGCTTTATTTTTAAGTGATGTTTGTGTTGTATGTTATGAAATGGTCTCAAGAGTGACCAAGAAATGTTGTAAAAAACAAAAAAAAAAAGAAAAAAGAAAGAATATAGTGTAGTCCTCATAGTGAAATGAGTTTAAAAAATACTCATTTTCCTATCATGTTCGCACTGCGAACATCTCCTTCGCCTAGGGAACATCAGTTCGTGGCACTCAAAATTCCAATTTTCCTTTGTTTTTAGCCAGTGAGTTATTCGCTGGCACCTTTGCGTTGCAAATTTTGGCTCCTTTTGCCTCTGTTTACGTTCGCTAGGAAGTTTGCACAACAAACTTCTTGCTGTTTTTTCTAGGCAGCTTCGCTGCAAGGTTCGCACAGTGGACTTCAGTGCCTTTCGCTTCTGTTTGTGAATAGTGCATGTTCACTGGGAAGTTCGTACAACGAACTTCTTATTATTTTCTGGTTAGCTTTGCTGTAGAGTTCGCACAACGAACTTCCCTTAGTTTTTTTAGTTTTAAAAAGAAATTTCAAGGAGTTCGCCTATTTTTTTTATGTTGTGTTTTTTCAAGCCGACTAACCTGATGTGGTTATACGGCCATTGTATGTGGGGTATTATTACGGTTATTTTTGACTTTTGGTTCCAAAAACTGTTTTCAAAAATAAACTTTCGATTTTATCGAGCCATTTTCACCCTTGTAAGTCGATTGCCTTGTGCGTCGCCATCGACCTTGTTCGCATCACTTCAAATATTTTTTATAAGCAATAAAACCCTTGATCCAACATCAGGTGGTATTTTTCTCAAAAAAATCCAAAATACAATAAAGATACAATTAGGTTTATACGCCATAGGCTTTAAAATGGTGGAGAAGGAATGAGAATGGAACCCTCCTACACTCGTTCTAAATATTTTGAATACAAGGCACTCGACTTGGTTATTCGAAACATTCATCTCTATCCAAAGTCTTTAGTGTGATCCTAATCAAAAACAATTTCTTCTCAAAAACCTAAAAAATAACATCAACTCATCAAACTTCTTTTCGCCTTAGGGCATCAATCCGAAAACTCTTTTTCAAGGTATAAAATCAACCAACAAACAACCATTTCACAAGCCTCCGAACTACAGAACTCTGATTCTTCACTTCTTTTAAGTGAGGATACGTAGGCACAAGGGCCACAATTCTTGGCAAGCACTCTAATAAAAAAACAACCCCTCTTTTCTTTTAAGCAAGCAAACTTTTAGATTAAAACACTCATTCAAGCTAGACAACTTAGAAGGTTCCCATCGAGTACGATGGATGTGAGGGGGTGCTAATACCTTCCCCTTGCATAACCGACTCCCGAATCCTAAAACTTGGTTGCGATGACCATACTCTTTTCCTAAAGGTTTTATCGTTATTTCCCTTTCCCTCCTTGGGATAAATAAAATCCGGTGGCGACTTTGTGTCATTTTTCGCGTAGCGAAAAACATGACACTAATGGTGGTAATCATTTTTTATCCTTAAATGTTTTTTTATAAATATTTTTCATTTCATATTTATGAAACCATTGTCGATAATTCTTGATCCCTGAATGCTTTTTATTTTTATTTTCATTTCAATCTTGGATCCTCCAACACTTCCCGCGCATCGTTGACTAGGCAAGTGTGGATGAGTACACTGAGGACATGCCCCGTGTCTGTGCTTTTACCCCACTTAGAAGGAACCTGAAGGTCGGGCCTTTCATAGTCTACTTTGACTGTTTGGTTGCTGAAGACATCCACTTCAACATGGCCATTTGACGACATATCTCTATACTCCGGATGGCTGACCTGCGGATCACGTATCACTGCTCCTCATCTGCCCGAGCGCTTCATGCGGCATTTTGGGTACACCCAAGCCATCCCTAGACACCCTGCTATCTTTGATCCTTCTGCCTTGCCTCGTAGGAAGATAGAGAAGATATTTGCTGATTATGAGAGTCACGTGGTACTGGAGGATACTAGAGCTACGTCGATAGATACAACATGTGGTTCTTCAGGGTCTCACATTTGTACACGATGTCGACTACTCTAGGAGATCCACTGAGACCAACTCATCAGGAGATTATAGAGAAGCAACAAATTTAACTTGATAATACTGAGGATGTCTTGCCTCGGTGTCGTGGCATACTAGAGATTGTGCGGGCAGGCATTGACGAGGGTATCTTCCCTGAGAGGTCTGCTACCAGGCGAGTCCTAGATACCATTGTGGCGGAGTCACATGGGGCACAGTTGTACCGTAGACATCGCCGGAGGATGGGGGTGGTTAATGCTCGAGGAGGTAGAGGAGATAAATGAGGTGCATGAGAGGTTGTCAGGCACACTCAGTAGCTGTCTGTTATTATTTTGATGTTATATTATAGTTTGTACTTTATTTTTGACATTGATACTACATTTTGGATCTCACGTTGTATGACATTTTACTATTGTATTGCTATATTATTTTCGACACACGCAATATTAGTCTTTTATTAATTTGTAAATCTATTTTTCCATCTGAAAATAAATACATAGCTCATCATAAAAAAAAACCTGTTCTGATACACTTCAGAGATATATCTTCAGAATATTCTCGTTGATGCATCTCCAGAATAATTCAAATGTAAATAGATTATGGGTGACAAGTTCTGAATGTTTAAAGTTTAAAATTGTTATGGAGATATATCTCTGGAATATATCAACGTTTACTCAGAAATGGAGCACGTCTGAAAATGTATCTTCAAAATCAGCAGACATGTGTGAAAATTCACATGATGCATAAGAAACATCTATTGTGGAAAACGAAATTCTCATTATCTTTTATATATCAAACATATTAGAAGTGTGAGATCAAACATATTTAATGAGAATCTACTAGTTATGCATATCGTTTTGCAAATATCAACAAATATAACAAACTAAATTTAATAGATTTTCCAGCTTCTTATCTTTCTTTAATTTCATTGTTGTATGCTCATTAAAGAAAAATCGCTTTAGATGTCATTTTAAACTTTCCATCTTCTAATTTTTTGTATGAAGATATAAACTTTACTCAAATATTAATTGAAGGTAATATCTAGTTTATAAGGCTAACTTATCAAAGCTTAACATAGAATCTAATTAGATACCTTAACCAATCATTCTCACGAGCACAACCACTATTGAGTATTAACTTACACATGCACTTACCATCTCTCTCTCTCTCTCTCTCTCTCTCTCTCTCTCTCTCTCTCTCTCTCTCTCGTGACATTTTACATTTTTTTCCAACTATAACCAACATTAATATCTTCTCGTTCACATAACACACAGTTACAACTTCATTCTAAAAAAGACTTCATTCATTTATTTATCATTTACCAATCAAGCTAAAGTGAAGTTCAACCATTTGACATGTAACAACAATGGGTCAAAACCTTAGTTGCAGAGGAACCAACCATGATCATGGTCTTTTCACAGTCGTGCAACAAGGTAATCTTGAAATTGTTACAACTATGTTGCAACAAGACCCGTCACTTTTTCATCAAACAACTCTCTATGATCGATTTTTGCCTCTTCATATTGCTGCTGCTAATAGCCATATCGAGGTTTGTTGTTCTTTTTAAATTTCTAACAAAGATAGTGTTTCAGTTTTCACTTTTTGTTATGTTTTTTAAAGGTTATTTTGTTTTAACATTCAGATTCTGTCGAGGCTTTTACATGGATCTGTTAAACCAAATATTTTAAATCGGCAAAAACAGGTAAATTGTTGTTCCTCTTTAAGCATTATGGTTTTTGGCATTTGGGTTTTTGTTTTTGTTTGTAAAAATGTTATCTTTGCTTAGTTTTTGGTTTGTTTTGATGTGAATGGTTTAAACTTCTCTTATGCTGGCTGTAATGCATGGAAGGATTGCTTGTATGGAGAAGTCCATCTGATATGTCCCTACTTCCTGTATATCCAGACCATACTACCAGATATATTTAGGACGGAGAAGTAGCATTAGTCTGATTTTTTATTTATATTTTACGTTAATTTAAATTGCTGACATTGGTTATTACTGATATTGATTATTTCTGGAAAATCATTGTTGCGTGATCCATAGAAGTTTCTGAAGCATGAGAGGAAGATTGTGTGCTTAGATCAGCCGGATGATGAGTATTTTCAATCGGTTCTGACCTTATCTGGGTTGACGGACATATGCATGGTCGATTACACCCTGGCCAACCATAAGATGCTTAATGCATTCGTGGAGCAATGGCATTCTGAGACGTCTTATTTTCATCTTCCATATGGTGAGATGTCTATCACACTAGATGATGTTTCGTGTTTATTACATCTTCCAACCAGGGGGAGATTCCTCGATCATGGTAGGATAAACAAAGATGAGACATTCAAGATTATGGTAGAGCATTCAAGGGTTGATCCTGAGAAGGCGGTGAAGGAGGTGGATAGGGCCATGGGTTCTCATGCTAGATTTGAGTTCCTGAAGAAGAGATATGATGAAGAGATTGTTACTGAAGAGGTGGATGATGGTGATGCTGACCAGGTGGCCTTACACAAGACTCGTGCTTTGAAGGCATAATTTATTTTTTTGGTTGACACTTGTATTTTTGTGGACATGAGTGCCACCTATACTAACGATGCATATCTCCGGTACTTCTTGGATTTCACTCGGATCCATGAGTACAACTAGAGGGCGACTTGCCTGGCCTATTTGTATTCAAGGTTTAGAGATGAATATTTGTGGAGGACGAAGCAGGTCACAGGAAGCACGACACTACTGGTGGTAATCATTTTTTATCCTTGAATGTTTTTTTTTATATCTTTTTCATTTCATATTTACAAAACCATTGCGATAATTCTTGATCCTTGAATGCTTTTTATTTTTATTTTCATTTCAGGCTTGGATCCTCCAGCACTTTCCTCACATCGTTGGTTAGGCGAGTGTGGATGAGTATACTGAGGACATGCCCCGTGCCTGTACGTTTATCCCGCTTAGGAAGAACCAAAAGGTCGAGCCTTTCAGAGTGTACCTTGATTGTTTGGTTGTCGAGGACATCCACTTCAACGCGACCATTTAATGACATATCTCTATACTCCAAATGGCTGGCCTGTGAATCACGTATCACTGCTCCTCATCTGTCTGAGCGCGTCATGTAGCAGTTCGGATACACCCAGACTATCCCCAAATACCTTATTGTCTCTGCTCCTTCTGCCTTGTCTCGTAGAAAAATAGAGAAGATGTTTGTTGATTATGTGAGTTACTTGGTACCAGAGGAGGCTAGGGCTACCATAGCGCCGAATGACTGGACCTACATCGACAAATACAACATGTGGTTCTTCAGGGTCTCACATTCGTACATGGTGTCAACTGCTCCAGGAGATCCGCTGAGACCAACTAATTAGGAGATTCTAGAGGAACAACAGACTCAGCTTGATCATACTAATAATGTCTTGCTTCGGTGTCGTCACATAATGGAGATTACGCGGACAGACATTGACGATGGTATCTTTCTTGAGATGTCTGTTGTTAGGCGAGTCCTGGATGCCATTGTGACAGAGACACAGGGGGCACTGTTGTACCGTAGACATCGCCAGAGGATCGGGGGTGGTTGATTCCCGAGGATGCAGAGGAGACAAATAAGGCATATGAGAGGTTGTCAGATACACTTAGTAGTTGTCTATTATTATTTTGATGTTGTATTATAGTTTGTACTTTAATTTTGACATTGTTACTACATTTTGGATCTCATGTTGTACGATATTTTACTATTGTATTGCTATATTATTTTTGACACATGCAATATTAGTCTTTTATTAATTTGTACGTCTGTTTTTTCATCTGAAAACAAATACATAACTCATTATAAAAAACTGTTCTGATACACTTCAGAGATGTATCTCTGGAATATTCCTGTTGATTCATCTCCGAAACAATTCAAATGTAAATGGATTACAGATGAGAAGTTCTGAATGTTTAAAGTTTAAAATTGTTTCGGAAATATATTTCTAGAATACATTAACGTTTACTCAAAAATAAAATACGTCTGAAAATGTATATTCAAAATTAAGAGACATATGTCAAAATTCACGCATAAGAAATATCTATAACGAAAAAAGAAATTCTCTTTATCTTTTATATTTCAATCATATTAGAAGTGTGGAATCAAACATATTTAACAAAGAGAATCTACTTTGTTATGCATATCGTATTGCAAATATCAACAAATATAACAAACTTAATTTAATAGATTTTCCAACTTCTTATCTTTCTTTAATTTCATTGTTGTATGCTCATTATAGAAAAATCTCTTTAGATGTCATTTTAAAACTTTCCATCTTCTCATTTTTTGTATGAAGATATAAACTTTACTCAAACATTAATTGAAGGTAATATCTGGTTTGTGGGGCTAACTTATCAAAGCTTAACACAGAATCTAAGTAGAGATACCCTAACCAGTCATTCTCACGAGTACAACCACTATTGAGTATTCACTTACACAGTCATCTACCATCTCTCTCTCTCTCTCTCTCTCTCTCTCTCTCTCTCTCTCTCTCTCTCTCTCTCTCTCTCTCTCTCTCTCTCTCTCTCTCTCTCTCTCTCTCTCTCTCTCTCTCTCTCTCTCTCTCTCTCTCTCTCTCTCTCTCTCTCTTGTGACATTTCACATTTTTTTTCCAACTATAACCAACAATAATATCTTCTCATTCACACAATACACAGTTACAACTTCATTATAAAAAAAACCTCATTCATTTATTTATCATTCACCAATCAAACCATAGGTGAAGTTCAACCACTTCACCTGTAACAACAATGGGTCAAAACCTTAGTTGCAGAGGAACCAACCATGATCATGGTCTCTTCACAGCCGTGCAACAAGGTAATCTTGAAGCTGTAACAACTTTGTTACAACAAGACCCGTCACTTTTTCATCAAACAACTCTTTATGATCGGTTTTCGCCTCTTCATATTGCTGCGGCTAATGGCCAGATCGAGGTTTTTGTTCTTTTTACCTTTCTAACAAAGATAGTGTTTCAGTTTTCACTTTTTGTTATGTATTTTTTTTAAGGTTGTTCTGTTTTAACATTCAGATTCTGTCGAGGCTTTTGCTTGGATCTGTTAACCCAGATGTTTTAAATCGGCAAAAACAGGTAAATTGTTGTTCCTCTTTAAGCATTGTGGTTTTTGGCATTTGGGTTTTTGTTTTTGTTTGTAAAAGTGTTATCTTTGCTTAGTTTTTGGTTTGTTGTGATGTGAATGGTTTAGACTCCTCTTATGTTGGCTGCAATGCATGGAAGGATTGCTTGTGTGGAGAAGCTCCTTGAAGCTGGTGCTAATGTAATTTGAAATTTTGATTTTATTGTTAGTTTTGTTTGTTAATTTATAGATGAGTTTGGAAAATTGATTTGTGAAAGTTATGGAAATTTTCAGGTTTTGATGTTTGATACGGTTAATGGAAGAACCTGCTTACACTATGCTGCTTATTATGGCCATTTTTCTTGCCTTCAAGCTATTCTATCTTCTGCTCAATCCAGTTCTGTGGCTGCTTCTTGGTTTGTCCTTTTTTCCCTGGATTGATTTTGAAGCTATGCTGTTATGGTTTTTTATTAGTTTTTTGAATGTTTTTGAGTTGGTTATAGGGGTTTTGTTCGGTTCGTGAATGTTAGAGACGGAAAGGGTGCGACGCCATTGCATTTGGCGGCTCGACAAAGACGGCCTGAATGTGTACATATTCTGTTAGACAGTGGAGCTCTTGTTTGTGCTTCAACTGGTAGATATGGGTATTGATCTGTCAAAGTTTTATAATTAATGGCTTAAAAGGGGTAGCGGTGCAGCTTGTTGTCCGTTTGCCTGCTATTTCTGTATAATTTTTATTTTTGTTTGAATATTATTAAAAGTTATCTTCTGCTTTGTGGACTAAACAATTGCTATTTGCAGCTATCCGGGAAGTACTCCACTTCATCTAGCTGCTAGAGGGGGATCTCTGGATTGCATTCGCGAATTGTTAGCATGGGGCGCGGATCGTCTTCAACGCGATTCATCTGGGTATGGTTTCGTTTCTCGACACAATTTCTTAGAAGGGCTCAATTTCTTATTGTAAGAACTAACTTTTAAGAATTTGTCTTCATGATGTTTGGTGGGTTTATGCAGGCAGATACCATATATGGTTGCTATGAAACACAGACACGGATCATGCGCGTCGTTGCTAAATCCTACGTCTGCGGAGCCTCTTGTCTGGCCATCTCCACTGAAGTTCATCAGTGAACTTAATGCGGATGCCAAAGCCTTGTTAGAACAAGCCTTGATGGACGCAAACAAAGAAAGGGAGAAAAACATATTGAAAGGCGGCGGTTACTCTCTTCCGTCTCCATCACATTCTGAGTGTGTAGATGACAATATCTCCGAGGTAATTTGATGTTCTCCGCCCGTCCACATGAACATATACACACAAAATTTGTGTTTTGCTTTTGATGTTAAGAATCTCACATCAGATAATATATGGTTTGAACATGTGCATAAGTGGGCCCGTTTTAGCCTACAAACCGATTTTGTAGGGTTGAATTAGGCCCAACCATAATTCTTCACACTCACATGATATTAGAGTCTGGTTTAAGATCCGTTGTGAAAAAAAGAAGTAGAATACTCATTGTGGTATTTGATATTATGCAGGTTAGTGAGTCAGAGTTATGTTGCATATGCTTTGAGCAAGTATGCACAATTGAAGTTCAAAACTGTGGTCACCAAATGTGTGCACAATGCACATTAGCCCTATGTTGCTACAACAAACCGAACCCAACAACTGCGTCCATTACTCCACCCGTCTGTCCATTTTGTCGTAGCAACATTTCTCGACTCATGGTTATCACAAAAATAGAAACTCACGACGAAACCGATCAAGACAACATTGATACCAGTTCTTCAAAGACAAACAAGTCGAGGAAACTGCGAAACATGAATGACAGCGGTAGTAGCAGCTTCAAAGGACTATCTAGCGTAAGCTTCGGGAAGTTGGGCGGCCGAAGCTCGGGAAGGGTAGCAGATGATTCCATTATGGTTAAGGAGGGTAACTAAGTGCATGCTTGACCAACAAGTTACAAAGAAAGTGAAAAAGTGAAGGAATAATACGTTATTTTGGGTAATAAGCAAAGTGAATTAAGGTGAAGAAGTTCAAGATAAGTACCAAATGTTGTTGGAGAAAAAGAGTGTTATTATTAATTTCATTAATTAATATTAATATTGATATTAGTATTGCTTGAGCATGAAGAAGCATCACAATGATTGATGATTTTGGGTTTTGTTAATAGTAATATTATTTTTTATACATAAATAAGTAAAGTGAGTATATGATTTGTCTTGAAAAGTGTAAATTTATGTTATGGGAAAATTATTTGCTTGATACGTTGCATTTTGTTTATATTTCTTTGTATTATACCATTTGAGAAATAAAATACAAAAGAGAAAGACAAGGTTTGCTGTTACTTGTCATGTGATCATGTCTCTGTTGTCTGTTGAATTATTTGTACATTTGGGAGTGGACCTGTGTATGCAGTTTGGTCTTTCCTTTTAATCCATTACACATTGAAATGTCTCTTTAGGCTAAGAAATTTCTCTTAAAATAAGTGAATGTCTCTTTGGTCTAAGAAATTTCTCTTAAAATAAGTGCTTTTATATTTCGAATGTAATATTAATTATTTTTATTATTTTTACTCATAATTAATATTATCTACACTTGTTATTTAACCCTACTATACGTTTATGATGTAAAAGTCCGACGATAACATTTATTTGTATTTTTTTATATTATGATTATTTCTTCATTTAATATTTTTTTAATATATGTGTAACAACTTTAATAGAATTTTATTTCGAGACAGATGGAGTTTATACGGACTAGAATAATCTACTAACAATTGTGAAAAATTGAGATGAGAGCGAGCTATCAGTTTAGGGTTTAATGGCTAACAATAGTATTTACTTACATTTTTTCTTAATATATTAAGGTATTTATATTTTTTTCTTAATATATTAAGGTAAACAAGTCGTTGATATTTATAAATTAATAGTTTCTTTTGAAAAAAATCTTGTTGCGTATGGGTTATACGTTAGTGTTGTAGTAAACTTTGTTGAAGTTGAAGGGCTAGTGTAGCTGTCGAAATATGTTAGGTTGTTAGCATGTCGAATTAGGTCAATATGTTGGGTCAATTGTTTAATATGTTAGTTGAAAGATAGAGTGTAGTTTTCTTATAAATAGCATACTAGTCATCACTTCTTAATCAATTCTTGATAATCCTGATTATGTGGAGAAAATTGTATGGTTAAAATTCAATTGTAAACATTGTTCCCTAATGTGTAATTGAATCAAGAATCTAAGATTTTATACCACTTTGAATTGTCTTTCTTTTTCCTTCACTATTTTCTTTTACCTTGTGTTTTTTCTTGTTGATCAAGAAACCTATCATACTCAATTTTTCAACCACCGTTTTCACAATAAATTGGTGCGATGAGTGTGGAGAAGAAGATGTCGTCAACAAAGTATGAGATTGAGAAATTCACCAATGTGAATGATTTCGGTTTGTGACGCTTGAAGATGTAAGCCCTACTGGTTATGTAGAGTTTGTTAGAAGCGTTGAAAGAATCAGAGAAGATGGATGATTCTCTAACGATGAAGGAGAGGTTGGCGATGATCGAGAAAGCCCACAATGTCATCATATTGAGTCTTGGTGATAAGATTCTTCGGCAGGTCTCAAAGGAGAAGACGATAACAGGTGCGTGGAGCAAACTTGTGGGTTTGTGTATGACCAAATGCTTGGTCAATCATCTCTACCTGAAGCAAGCTTTGTACTCATTCAAGATGAATGAAGACAAATTCTTGGCTGAGCAACTGGATATGTTCAACAAGTTGATTCTTGATCTTGAAAATATTGAGGTCAAGGTTGATGATGAAAATCAAGCGTTGCTGTTGTTGTGTGCTTTACCAAGATCCCATGCCCACTTTATAAAAAACTCTCTTGTAGAGAAGAGAGTCACTAACCTTTGAAGAACTTCAATCATCCTTGTACTCGAAGGACCTGAACGAAAGAAAAGCGTAAAAGTCATTATATGTTGGAAAAGGTTTGTCCGTTAAAGAAAAGTTTTGAAAGAAAGATGGTAAGTATGAGAGGAAGAAGGGTAAAGTTATACAAATTTTTTATGGTGGTAATGCTCCTGCAATTAGGTGTTATCATTGTAAGAAGGACGAACATACAAGAAAGATATGCCCTGAATGTTTGAATAATCATAGTGGAAATGATAATGGTAATGCAACCGTTGTACATGATGATTATGAATCATCTGATGTCCTGGTGGTTTCAAGTAGCGACTCTAGCAAGGAATGGATTATGGCTTCAGGTTGTACTTGACACATGACTCCAAACAAAGACGTGTTAGAGGAATTATGTGATCAAGATGGTGGATTAGTGCTGTTGAGAAACAATAGAGTCTTCAAGATTGCGAAAATTGGATCTGCCAGATTCAAGCTTCATGATGAGTCAATAAGGTTATTGACTGATTTCGTGTAAGTACCTGATCTTAAGAGGAATTCGATTTCACTTGGTGAATTCGACAAGAAAGGATATGTTTTCAAAGGAGATCAAAGTATCATAACGGTAATGAAGGGGTCGAAGGAAGTCTTGAGAGGCATCAAGAGAAAAGGCATGTATACCCTTAAGGATATGGTTGTAAGTGGTTCAGCAGATGTGACACCAATAAAACCAATGTCGAAGACTGAGCTGTGGCACAAGAGACTTGGCCATGTCAATGAAAGAGCCCTAATCGAATGGTTGAAGCAAAATATGTTATGTGGTGACAAGGTCGAAAAACTAGAGTTTTATGAACCTTGTTTATTTGTTAAATCCTGTAGGGTGAAGTTTAATAAAGGTAAACAAAGAATACATGGATCCCTTGATTATATCCATGCTGATCTTTGGGGGCCTGCGAGAAATCCTTCATACTCATGTCATGTGCAAGATATTTTCTATCCATAATTAATGATTACTCACGAAAGTTGTGGGTATTCATTCAAAGAACTAAGGATGAAACTTTTGAAATTTTCAAAAGTTGAAAGACTTTGGTCGAAAACCAAATTGGCAGGAAGGCTAAGAGGTTAAGGACCGACAATGGTCTTGTTTTGCAATGAGGTTTTCGATAACTATTGTGTTGTGTCTGGTATTGCAAGGCACAAAACTACTGCAGGTACTCCCTAAAAAAATAGTTTGGCTGAAAGATTTAATCGAACCATTCTGGAAAGAGTGATGTGCATGTCGGTTAGTGCGAGATTAAATAACGTTTTTTTAGGCTGAGGCAGTTATGATTGCAACATACCTGATAAATAGGTGTCCTTCGACTGTCTTAGGGATGAAGACACCTTAAGAAGTATGTTTGGAACATCCATTCAATCTCATCAAACTTAGAGTATTTGGTTGTTTATCCTATGCTCATATTAGGCAAGACAAAGTCGAACCTAGAGCTTTGAGATGTATGTTTCTTGGATACCCTAAAGAAGTCAAAGCTTATAGGCTGTGGTGCCTATAGGTAGGTCACAAGAGTTATATCACAAGTCATGTAGTTTTCAATGAAGCATAAATGGCGTTCAAGAAAATTGATAATGTTGGACAGATCTCTGAAGAAAAGTTGGATCAGGAAGAGATTATTGTCGAGGTGGAGCATAGTGATGCTGAATTGCGTAACCCAGATGAAGTCGAAGAGCAAGCACAAGTTACTGATGAAAATGAGGAGACTGATAATGACTACCTATTGGAAAGAGACGGGTCGAGAAAAGTCATCAAGCCACCTCAAAGACTTGGTTATGTAGATCTTATAGCTTTTGCCTTAATATCTGCAAGTGAGGTTCTTGATGAAGAACTTGGAGACTATAAGGAGGTTATGAGGAGTCGAGATAAAATTGAATGGCTTAAAACCATAGATGTTGAGATGAAATATCTTTATGATAATAACACAAGTGAGATTGATCAAAAAACCTGCAGGGGCCAGGTTAGTTAGCTGTAAGTGGATTTTCAAGGTTAAAGAAGGAATATAAGGAGTGATATCGAAGCGATTTAAGGCAAGGTTGGTTGATAGGGGTTCACTCAAAAATAAGGAATCGACTTTAATGATGTGTTCTCATCTATTATATAACATAAATCCATTAGAATGTTGTTAGTCATGGTGATAAAGTTCTACCTATAACTTGAACATATGGATGTGAAGACCGCCTTCTTGTATGGTGATCTAGATGAAACAATCCTGATGAGGCAGCCTGAAGGGTATGCAAAAAAAAAGGAAAGGAGGATTATGTGTGTAATTTGAATAGGTTATTACATGGTCTGAAACAATCTCCTCAATAATGGAATAGGAGTTTCGACAAGTTCATGACACACATAGGTTTCACTAAGAGCCATTCGACCACTGTGTTTACCACATATTTTTACTTGGAAACTCACTTGTTATTTTGTTGCTTTATGTGGAACACATCCTTATAGAAACACAACAGTGTCGAGGATGTTATGAAGGTGAATGCTGATCTCGATAAGGAGTTCGAGATGAATGATCTGGGAGCTGCCTCCAGAATTGTTGGGATTAACATCCGGAGAGATGAAAAGCAGACAAGATTATTCTTATCTCAAGAGACATATCTACTGAAGGTTCTCGACAAGTTTGGTATGTCAAATTCAAAGCATGTTGTAAATCCTCCGTTCAAGCTAAGTATGAATCAAAGTTCTAGTACTGAAGTCAAAAGAGCTTATATGAATAGCATTTCATATGCTAGTATAATAGGTTCTTTGATATGATATGGTTTGTACTAGGCCAAACATAGCATATGCAGTGAGCCTTGTAAGCAGGTACATGGGCAAACTTGGAAAGGCACACTGACAAACTTTGAAGTGGATTCTAAGGTACATAAATGGATCACCGAACAGAGTCCTGATTTATGATGGAGCATGTGGTGATGATATCAAAGTAGAAATCAAACGATTTGTCGACTCTGATTATGTAGGTTGTATGAATTTCATAAAATCTATTTCTGGAGATGTGTT